AACAAATAGTTTTGCTGTTGTTACACTATATACACAGGTTATATATAAGTATTTGCACGTTTTGTACACCATAACGAACTACTAAGTTGGTCTTGTGAGTCAAAAAGCAACGAGGAGTGACCGCCAAACACCAGCGAGCCACTCACTGCCACTCCCTCCCTCAACACCACCTCACTCACCCTCATTCACCTCCTACAATACTCTTTCTGTATTTATTCACTATACACAGACATTATATATACGTATTTACATGTTTTGTTCACCATAACTGTACATCTAAGCTTGTATGGTGAGTAAAGGCCACAAAGACGTAGCTACTCACACAGGCAGCTGATCGGCGGCCGCCCTCAAGGCCAGACGCACTAATATTTGTCCTTCAACAATATTGTTTGTGGTGTTATTACGCTATATACACATATTATATATAGGTATCTACCTGTTTTATTCACCATACCTGAATAAATAAGCTGGTATGGTGCCCAAAGACCATAGTGGCCATCAGTAAACACCATGCCAAGACGTGCAGACGACGCTCCTCCCTCACCAAAATGGCGGCTCCCAACCTACTCCTCTCGCTGTTATCACACTCTATACACACGTTATATATAAGTATCTACATTTGTGTTCACCATATCGAACCACTAAGTTGGTATGGTGAGTGCAGTCAATAAATGGTGGCCACACATAGTCAGAAGACGACGCCACAACCCTCCCTCGCACAGCCTTACGCCTCCCTCCATGGAGCACAGCGCTAAATATCACCACAATCCTGCTATTATCAGAATCCTGGTCAGTTTTATCACAGTCAGGGGGCTTCAGTAATACTATCACTGCTAAATAATAGCAGTATCATATATATATTGGTATTTGTAGGCGATGCTGTGGTCACAAGCTGAACAGCGGTGCTGTGAGCTCGTGCTGCGTGCGCCAGCCTTGGTGGCTTGCTCAATACTGACGCTGTAGCACCCAAGAATGTTGGCCTGGATTTTTTTTCTAGGTGGCATCTGGCAACTATCGGTCGTGGCTGTACTATAGCTGCCCCTATCCCAGGCGGGGAGTTTAAATTATAGCGCTAGACACGAAATCATATATAAATGATGTGCGCGGTTTCAGTTTTGTCACTGATATCATTTATGTATGATATGCGCGGTTTGAGGGTTAAGAAGCACATCAACAAACTGGAAAAGGTGCAAAGACATGCTACTAAGTGGCTCCCAGAACTGAAGGGCAAGAGCTACGAGGAGAGGTTAGTGGCATTAAATATGCCAAAACTAGAAGATAGAAGAAAAAGAAGTGATATGATCACTACGTACAAAATAGTAACAGGAATTGATAAAATCGACAGGGAAGATTTCCTGAGACCTGGAACTTCAAGAACAAGAGGTCATAGATTTAAACTAGCTAAACACAGATGCCGAAGAAATATAAGAAAATTCACTTTCGCAAACAGAGTGGTAGACAGTTGGAACAAGTTAGGTGAGAAGGTGGTGGAGGCCAAGACCGTTAGTAGTTTCAAAGCGTCATATGTCAAAGAGTGCTGGGAAGACAGGACACCACGAGCATAGCTCTCATCCTGCAACTACACTTAGGTAATTACACTTAGGTAATTACACACAGTCAGAAGACAACACCACCACCCTCCCTCCCTCCCACAGCATTACTCCTCCCTCCATGGAGCACAGCACTAAATATCACCACAATCCTGCTATTATCAGAACCCTGGTCAGTTTTATCACAGTCCGGGGTCTTCTGTAATAATATCATCGCTACATAATAGCATGAGCAAGTATATTATGGCTTTTTAGGTGATGCTGTGGTCACAAGCTGAACAGCAGTGCTGTGAGCTCATGCTGCGTGCATCAGGCTTGGTAGTTCACTCAATACTGAGGCCCCTAACACCCGGGAATTTGGCACACGATTTTTTTTTTTTAAATGGCGTCTGTTTTCAAGAGCCCTGATGAAGGTGTGGTGAACCCCGTGTATCCGCGGGCCGTTTAAATCTTACGTAGTACTCCAAAGCATCATATGATGCGATGCGCAATTTACTGCAAGTCGGTCAAAGCATCATATGATGCGATGCGCAACTAAAGGGTTAAGAAACATGGGGCAGCCTACCTGCTGAACACCGAATGAACCTTTTTGACATTTGTTCTGTTTAAAAATTTTTTTTATTTATTTTATTTTTTTTATTTTTTTCTGGGGGAAGCCCCTACGGCTCCCCGGAGCTATCCATGGCTGATATGGATACCCTAACTATTTTGCATCAGTCGATGTGGGTGGAGTTCTAGGCCTACCGGGAACCACGAGGCAGAACCTGGCCCCCTCAGAGAGGCACAGGGAGCAATGGCCCATAGAAATGCACGTGTGATTTGGAGCATTTGGTCGTGTGGCTCCAGTTCCGGTCTTGTCTCAGTGCTGTGACTTGTTTGCAGTGCTGCTCTTACGGTGGTTCTGAAGCTATCAGGCTTCACAGAACCTCCGTGAGCTGGGAGTAGTATTCTCAGGTACTTGGGCTGCATGTGCTTAGGGTCATCTTCCCTGAGTGCCCTGTAAGTACCACCCTTGGGGCTTGGGGTTGCCTTCCACAAGTCACCTTGGGTCTACCTCTGTTGGCTTTTCGCTGCTTGGCGTTTGGCCGCCCCCGAGGGTTAGGGGGTTTTACTCCCTTGTTTACCATGGGGTAAGTGGTAGTTACAGCACTGGTGGGGCGCAGGGTACTGCATAGCTAGTTTTCACCTATGACAGCGGCCGGCTGTGTTCCCTCTGGGTATGTTGTCCACTTGCGTGGTTTTTCTTTTATATTTGTTTTTGCCTGGTAGGGGGGTCTGCCTTGTGTTCCCCCCCCTTATATTAGGTTCGTTTGTGTGGTGGCACCCCCTGCTTCGCCCTCACGGGTGGACACGTCCCGTGGGTTCAGCTTTAGCAGTTTGCTTGGTAGTTTGGGGCGCCGGTTAGCAGTGCCCTGCCTTGGATAACCCTTAGCAGACCCAGTCTAGGGGCCATGGGGAACCCCCCGGGGGCTCTCGGGTCCGATAGTGGAGATCCTTGCGTCCCCTCTCGCTTTGTGCGAGTTGAGGGTTGCTCTGTCCCTTTGTCTCAGGGTGACTCCTTGTTTTTGCCTCCGTCATGCTGCCTGTTGGGTCGGTGACACATTCGACCTTAAGTCCCCTTCAGTTTTAGACCCCTTGGTCCGGGTGCTGCTTGCTCGGTGTGCGAACCCGGTTTGCCAGGGATGTTTTCCGTGGATCTGCCTCTTCTAGCGGGTCGGACCGATCTGGTATATGACTGGTCTTCTCCGCTCTTTGCATCTCGTCTTTTTGACGCTGGTTTATCACCATTTGTATGGTGATCAGGTGGCTTCGTTGATGGTGGCCAACTTGAGAGCTTCATCTCAGCGATTCTTTCTGCCATTTTCTCTCTCTTCGTAGGTTGTCTTTTATTTCTTATTGGGTTATCTTGTCCTTTCTACCTTGGCTTTTTTCAGGAGCATCATTTGATGCCTAATACTGTCATCTCGTATCGTGCAGCACTGGTGGAGCCGTTCCAGCTTGTGTTCGGGGTGGATGTCACTATTTCCCCATTCTGTAAGCTTTCTCGTGCTTTGTTTCACCTCCAGCCTGATCATGCGCCGCCTGAGCTGTCCTGGTCCTTGCACAGGGTGCTCTCCTATTTTTCCTCTCCTCGGTTTGTGGTGGCCCCTTAGGTTCAAGATTGCTTTTCCAAGGTTCTGTTTCTGTTGGCAATTGGCCTCTGAGGGTCAGTTCGGTGAGCTTAATGCTCTCCTCCAGTGCAGGGATTTCTGCTCTTTCAGTCCTGGTGGTCGGGTTGTTTGATTGCAGCCTTCTCCTTCTTTTCTGGCGAGGAACGAGATGGCTGCTTTCCAGAGGGGTCCTTGGGTCATTGATACTGGGTTAGTCAGGCCAGGGGGTGTATGATATGTTATGTCCGGTTGCGGGTTTTTGCCATTATCTGTGCGCTTTGGCTTCGATGGCCGGGGATGTGCTTTGGGTTGATCCAGTTTCCCTCATTCCCTGTTCCAAGGCTCGGGGTCTTTCAGGTCACCTGCAGGGTTATTAAGTCTAGCCAGCCTGCAGTCTATCCTAGTGCCCATGATGTTTGAAAGTTTACTGCATTGGCTGCCGTGTTTTGCAACATGTCCTGGGCTGATATTCGGGTGTGGTGATTTTGAAGGTCAAACGGGGTCCTGGCTGCCCATTATTTGGTTAACATTCCTGCTCCTGGACGTTCCTGTGGTGCTTTGGGTCGCAGGTTGCAGCCAGTTGTCTTGACTTCGCATTGAGGAATGTGTGGCAGCCACTTCCCGGGTAAGTTCCTCTTTTCCTTATCTTTGTTAATGTAGCTCCAGGGAGCCGAAGAGGTTCCCCGCAGAAAAAAAGCGTTGAATGTAATGAAACGCCATTTTCTGGGTGAGACCTGGAAGCTCCCTGGCAACCCTTCCTCCCTCCGGTCAGTGGTTTTTCGTGTCGTTTCATGCTTCCAAACTAGAGTGCTGGGTAGCCAGCGCGGGGAGGTCCGGGGCTCCCCCTCTCGACGAAGGGAGGGGAGGGCTGTGTGGACGAGCAGCGCAGCAGTGGCATGTGTGACGTTTGTTTGTTTCCTTGGGATTAGAGGGAGTTCTGCCTCTTTTTTGTTTTTCTTTGTACTTTTCTTATCATGTGGGGTTTGTTTTGTTATGCCTACCTTTCTGGGTGCTTAACCCCGGTCGAAGGCAGGTAAGGAAAACCTCCAACCACAAGGGGGGTATTTTCCAGAGCTATTGCTCCCTGAAACCTCTTTGAGGGGTACAGGTTCTGGCTCGTGGTAGGTTGAATGCTATAGACTTTTGCCCCAGTCTAATATATCACACATTAGCCTGATAGCTTCACAGAACCTCCGTGGCTCACCCAGAAAATAACATTTCATTACATTAAATGCTTTTTTTTTTATATTGAAGAGATGTCTGATGCCAATTGTGTTTTAATTTGTATTTTATATTGAAGAGATGTCTGGTGCTAATTGTGTAGCATCCATCATACCATGGTCACAAGTTTGCCGCATGCTTGACAAGGTCCAGTCTGCTGTGCGAGCCTCCAAGAGGGAGATGCTGCTAAGATTTATTACTCATTTCCGAGAGCTTCTTCAGAAGAAGCGGCAGCAGGAACCAAATACAGTAAGCTGTACTTTTCTATTTGGGGGATACTGTTTAATGAATAGGGGTAAATCAGTTCTGATTTTCTGTATTTCAAATTTTTGCGATACCAGTAATGTATGCAACAATGAAAACTGATAAGTAACAATTGCAGGGAGTTGGTGGTGTGGTGAATTAAAAAATAGTTTGAAATGAAGCAGTTTACTAGTTAAGTAACAAATGTTTGAAAACAAGGCATTGTAGAAGAGTGCCTCACAATTTACCGATAAGAATGTACATTTTGGATGTCAGTTTTAGGTAATAAGTTTTTCATTTGTGATTTTTAGGGATAAAATGGGCCGGGTAAGTTTTATGGGTGAAACACTATACTGTGCCACAGGAACATCTGGAGGAGCTGATACAACAATGCTTGTTTTAATGTTTGAAATTTCACAATGCTGTACTTGCTGATTTATTTAAAATATGAAACATATTCAGTATGTTGGCTGCTAATTAGGAAAACTCCTATATTTGATGGTAGTATCAGTAAATTTTTGTAGTACAATATCAGTGCTGTTTCATTATAATCAGAATTTATTCTGTTATTTTAACATATTATGCCCCTAAATTTGGATTTTGAGAAAGGTTTGTACATTATATAAAAATCATTTATAGATCATATGCATTTGTACAAAGGTAATATATACTTGTACAACAAACTGTCTTCATCATAAGGGTCAAATGATCATAACCAACCTTCCAAATCCCCCGTTTGTAAAAGAAAAACACTACACACGACTCATAACTGATAAAATATGTAGTGTACGGTACTTTTCTCATACAGTACACCAGTCAGGTTCTCTGCTTGAACATGATTGAAGCTTCATCCCTGTAATGCAAATACCAATAATTGCTAACAGAACCTAACCTTATCTAGGCTTAACTATAAAATATTTTATATTATGTATATAATAATATTAATTCATATTTTAAAAAATACTAACTTTGAATATGCAGTACCTTAAAATTCATGAAATGCCTTTGGGGTTGGCTGCAGTTTGGCATGCCTAAACTGGAAAATTAAAAGCATTTCTAAATACAGTGGCACCTCGACTTACGGTTGGCCCTACTTACAAATTTTTCGAGTTACAACAGAAATTTTGTCGGAAAATGCGTCTCGACTTACGAGCCTTGTTTCGACTAGCAACTTTGTTGATACACGTATGGGTCAACTGATCGCGTGGTCCCTGGTGGCACGGCCGACCCTGCCTCAGTTTACTAGAGCCGCCCGCTTAGTGACGATCGTGCTTGAAAAGAATTTAATTATTTTTTTGCATTTTGGTTTTTTGAACATAAAAGTATTATATATCATGCCATGGGGTCCCAAGAAAGTCAGTGGTAAGGTTCAACCTGAGAAAATAGTTGAGTAGAGGCCATAGAGGATGTCCCTTCCTCATTAATTAATTCTCGTGCTACGTCGTTCGTTTTGGTATCATTGTGTTCGCAATTAAATTCCGTACAGATGTGTATGAATATAATGTACAAAAGCCTGGAGTGCCTCCCCGCAGAAAAGCCTAAAGTTACCCGTGAACGAGCACCAATTTGTAAACTGCAACCTAATGTGTATACTCGTTCAGTTTGATAACATCAATTTTCCTGTTACGTCTTTCATTTTGGTATCAAATTGTTCACAATAAAAAGGCGCGCATTTTAAAACTAGTCCCATAATAATAGAGCAATAACTGGAATTTTAACAAATATTTTAATTCTGGAAGCTCATCATCACAAAATTATTTATATCTTTCCAGTGTTCTGATATAAATTTTTGTGTTACATCTTTCATTTTGGTATCAAATTGTTCGCGACGTAAAGGCGCACATTTTAAAACTAGTCCCAACATAATAGCACAATAAATAGAATTTTAACAATTATAAAATTTTGACCAAAAACCTATTTATAATCATATAAGTGTTCGGACATCAAGTTTCATGTTACATCTTTCATTTTGGTATCAAATTGTGTGCATTCGAAAGGCGCTTATTTTGATACTATCCCGAGGTCGATTGGATAGAAAAGTAATTTTATACAAATATTTTTGTAGTGGATGCAAGTCCGGTCCTCGGTTAGGACTCAGGAGAAGAATAATGGACGAGAGTCCGGTCCAAAGTTACCGATAGTGCTAAGAAAATGTGTGAAGTATGGGATGAACTGAAAAGTTTTGTTGAAAAGCCTCACCCAGATAAAGCTGTGGCAGGCCTTTGCATTGATCCTTTAAATGACAATGTGATGTCTCACTACATACAGGTGTTAAAATGTAGGGAAAAACAAGTGTCTTTAGACAGATTCTTAGTAAGACAAACAAGCAGTGAGACACAACCAGGTCCTAATGGTATGCCTGTAAAACGTAGGAGAGAGAGTACCCCAGAGATAAACATATTATACTGTAATATGTTTATGATAATACTGATAATATGATAATACGGTACTGTATTGTAGCTAGGACAAAATGAGAGTTATTTGGTATAAAATGTATTTTTAAGTTAATATTTTTGGTGGTGTGTAATGGATAAGTTCAATTTACATTATTTCTTATGGGAAAATTCATTTTGACTTACGAATTTTTGGCTTACAACCCGTCTCTGGGAATGGATTGAATTCTAAAGTTGAGGTGCCACTATACAGTACTTTCTTTCAGCTAATAATCAGTTAGTGGTCATTAGAATTAAGGTGCGTAGTTAATTTGAAGAATACTGCAGCTTCAAGGAAATTTTTAATCCAACATTCACAAAAACTGGGTAGATGTGTAAAATAGCTATGGATTTCTTTAGAGTGTTACTAATCAGTAATTAATGCTGAGGAATCCATTTAAGAGGTCGTTTCTGGGGGTAGCCCCATTGGCTCCCTGAAGCTATTCGAACTCATATGTGTTATTTTAGGGTCATCAGTCACAACGAGTTCTTAGGACTACCAGGGACCACTTAGGCCTAAAAGAAAGAGGGAACCAGCCCAACGGGTCGGCCTCTCACCACTTCAGTTCTTGTCTTATGTGTTTGTCGGTCAGCGGTCATCTATGGCCTCGCCTTCCTGTAATGGATTTTGCCCTGTGTGGCTGTACCATCTGTAATTACCTAGGTGTAGTTATAGGATAAGAGCTACACTCGTGGTGTCCCGTCTTCCCCAACACTCTTTGTCATATAACGCTTCGAAATTACTGACGGTTTTGTCCTCCACCACCTTCTCACCTAACTTGTTCCAACTGTCTACCACTCTGTTTACAAAAGTGAATTTTCTCATATTTCTCTGGCAGCTTTGTTCTGTTAGTTTAAATATATGACCTCTTGCTCTTGAAGTTCCGGGTTTCAGGAATTCTTCCCTATCAATTTTATCGATTCCTGTTACTATTTTGTACGTAGTGATCATATCGCCTCTTTTTTTCTATCTTCTAGTTTTTGCATATTTAATGCCTCTAACCTCTCCATGTAGCTTTTGTCCTTCAGTTCTAGGAGCCACTTAGTTGGCACGTTTTTCCACCTTTTCCAGTTTGTTGATGCGCTTCTTAAGATATGGGCACCATACAACAGCTCCATATTTCAGCTTTGGTCTAACAAAAGCCGTGAACAATTTCTTTAGTATTTCTTCATCCATGTATTTAAAAGCAATTCTGAAGTTAGAAAGTGTAGCAAAGGCACATTGTCCTCGCACAATGTTCTTACTGTGGTCCTCAGGTGACAGTTTTCTATCTAGAACCACCCCCCTATCTAGAAAGATAGGGGGCCTCGTAGCCTGGTGGATAGCGCGCAGGACTCGTAATTCTGTGGCACGGGTTCGATTCCGGCACGAGGCAGAAACAAATGGGCAAAGTTTCTTTCACCCTGAATGCCCCTGTTACCTAGCAGTAAATAGGTACCTGGGAGTTAGTCAGCTGTCACGGGCTGCTTCCTAGGGGTGGAGGCCTGGTCGAGGACCGGGCCGCGGGGACACTAAAAGCCCCGAAATCATCTCAAGATAACCTCAAGATAACCCCTAGATCCCTTTCTTTGTCATAGTTCTTTAATGATTTCACACATAATTTATAGGTTGTGTAGGGGTCTATGTTCTCCAATTCCACAACATGGCATTTATTCACATTAAATTCCATTTGCCAAGTGGTGCTCAATATACTTATTTTGTCCAGGTCTTCTTGAAGGGCATGTCAATCATCTAGGTTTCTTATCTTCCCTATTATCTTAGAATCATCAGCAAACATGTTCATATAATACTGTATTCCATCTGGTAGATCATTTATGTAGACAATGAACATTACCGGTGCAAGAACTTAATCCTGTGGTACTCCACTTGTGACATTCCTCCAGTCCGATACATTGCCTCTGATGACATCCCTCATTTTTCTATCAGTTAGGAAATTTCTGATCCATGTTAGAAGCTTACCTGTCACCCCTCCAAAATGTTCCAGTTTCCAGAACAACCTCTTATGTGGAACTCTGTTAAAAGCCTTTTTTAGGTCCAGATAGATGCAGTCAACCCAACCATCTCTTTCCTGTAAAATCTCTGGCTCGATCATAGAAACTAAGTAAATTCGTTACACAGGATCTTCCAGATCGAAAACCATACTGTCTGTCTGATATTATATCTTTTCTCCAGGTGTTCTACCCATTTAATTTTAATTATTTTTTCCAATATTTTGACTTACACTTACTAATGATACAGGTCTATAATTGAGGGGGGTCTTCCCTGCTGCCACTTTTGTAGATTGGAACTATGTTAGCCTTTTTCCACTCATCAGCTACGACTCCTGTACACAGGGATGCCTAAAAAATCAGTTGAAGTGGAATGCTGAGCTCAGGTGCACATTCTCTCAGAACCCATGGTGAAACTCCATCTGGACCAACTGCTTTGTTCTTACTTAGCTCCTTGAGCATTTTTTCCACTTCGTCTCTAGACACCTTTATCTGCTCTATGTTGTTCTCTAGAATTCTTACTGTGTCTGGTTCCCTGAAGATTTCATTTTGTACAAGCACACTTTGGAACTTTTCGTTTAATGT